TTTAAAGTATTTGATGAATCGTATCTTTAGACTTGACTTAGATCGTAATTTGTTTATTCCAAAACCAAAGTCACTTTGATGGGTATTGAAAACAGCGTCAAATTAAATTATGCAACTATGAAAATAGTTGTGAATCAAATAGTGCCCTAGTGGCGTATTTCTTCTGACGTTACCCACCCACGTTACGGACGTGACGTGGTACGTAAGCTAGACACGGATTTTTGTATAAAGTGCGACTGGAATGGAAAGTGAGTGGAACATTTAGGCTTTATTGGGCAATTGGTTGATGTCGTGCATTTACATCGAGTTCTAAAGTTTGTTATTATTTTGTGTTTTTTCGGATCAAAAATCCTGTAGGTTCATTTGTTTTTCGCACGAACTAACGTCTCGTACTCTTTACAACTCCCATGGTCACGGCTGACTGAGATGATATTACTCTTCAACCATCATCATCAAGCCATTTATACGTTCCACTGCTGGAGACGGGTCTCCTCTCAAGCCACCCTTACCCAAATTTTTGGATTTGGGACTTCACACGGTTTTTATTTTATTTCTTTATTAAATGTACAAAACAGTTTATATTCACTCCTTAACAAAAGCTTAAACATTACTGCTGGTTCTACTCTAGAATGTAAGCCTAAACACGTACACTCTGCTTGACCAATAATGAGTAAACAATTTTGTTACAATATATTAATAAACCGTACTTAGGCATGATAAAACTGTAACCTTAAATAAAATAGAATTACTATGACTATAACTATGAAAGAGAGAAATTGTGGTGCTTGTGGGTTCGATTGCGAAGTCTTTTAAAATTTATCAAATATATCCTCTAAATCATGACGCTGATTTAGAGGTGGACCTTTATTGGCGGATTTTTTAACCTTATGAGGTTATTATAGGCCCGACACATCTGCCGTCCGCTAACTAAAATGAGGCTACGTGACAAATGGTCAAATGTTCGTTTCATATAGAAAAAAATAGAGAACAAAATTCTCTTTTGAAAACAGTTAAAATTAGTTATGGTTTTTGAGTTATCGGAACATACTCTAACGATGCATAGCTCATTAAACAATTTCAATATTCTAAAACTGAGTTATGGCTTTTTATGATATATCTGAAAAAATATTTTGTCACAGCCGCATTTTAGTTAGCAGACGGCAAACATTCTCGTGGGAGGGTTCTAAAAAGAAGTAAGTATAAACATTCAATAAGAATGGTTTAGGTAGGCGTTGTGGATTGTACTTGATGTTAAAGTTAATATAGGACTGAAGCGTTTTCTAAGGGTTGTGTTCTTCGACGTGTAGATTTCATCACAATGTTTTCTTTCACCGGAAATTTCAAATTAAATTTCGCACATAAATTCCAAGAAATTCAGATGTGTCAGTCGGGTTCGGAACCCACAGCCTCTGATTGAGAAGTGGTAGGTCAAAGTATTTAGACTATCACGGATTCAACAAAAATAATAATAATAGACAATGGTTGAAGACTAATGTAATATTTTTCCAATTCGACATTTTAAGTGACATCAACGTATGGGTTTATTCCCAGCAGTTCCATGTACTCAGTTCCACATGGAACAATTGTAACCCAAAAGTTCTTTATTGCCTATTCATCTCAAAAGGAGAGCTCTCATGAAACAACCCAGTATTACAATCGTAATTTCATTAGACGCAGTAATGATAGGCGTGGGTGTGGACATGCAAAAGTCATAAATTTCATTTAGTACGACGATATTTTTAATACACCTTATGACTCGAGAGTCGGATCTTATACATATACAAACGGAATCATGAACAATAACATTCGCAAGTTATCTTTTTCTTTTATGACATAAATTAACGGGACAAACAAGTCGTGCGCCTCATTTCCACTACCGCTTAGTGTTTTAAATCGCAAGTACCTGTGGGGCACTGCCACTGCGCCCGTCACCCTGACACATAAGTTGAAGAAAGTCTCAAGTGCCTGTATTTTCACCAGCACCGTTACCTTTCAAAACCAAAACGCAGTAACGCTTACATTACTGCTTAGCGGCAGAAATAAGTAAGATGACAATACTTCCCGGCGAACTATTTGACAAGGATTCTACTTCTACTAAAATATAAGTAAATGTTATAAACTTTAGGGCTGTAATCATATAACTTTAATAAGGGAGACGAGATGTTTTCAAAATATTTTTTGTAAATATTTTATTTTTATCGTTTATGCTTTTTACTACCATGAGATTCATCTATTTTTTAATCGACTTCAATAAAATAGAGGAGGTTCTCAATTCGACTGTGTTTTTTTTGTAAGTATGTTACGCGATAACTCTGGCTTTGTTGTGAACCGATTTTGATGGTTCTTTTTTGTTGGAAAAAGGGTAACCTCAGTACTTAGTGGTCTCATTTAAATTTGAAGAAAATACTCCACCTCTAACTGTAGCAAACTAGGGGATGAATGTCTTTAGAGGTCAGTTTTAGGACTCTGTACTGAGTTGTGAAAACATTTCATTAGTTAGTTATTATTATTGATACAAATATAGAACAAACACAAAAATCTTTCGATCCGACTGGACTCAAAACAGTATCTGTCGCTTCAACGTGGCTACTGTTCTGCCAACTGAGCTGCGGATTGAGACAGCAGATCTTACCAATTTCACTGTGCTTGCTACGGATCTTTGTATTGCGTTTTTACATACATACATTTATACTTCACGCCTTTTTGCAATCATCAATAAGAGTTAAGATATAAGATATTTATTTATTCACTCTCACATAAGGAAGATTGTACATTATAATTATATGTTAAACAAGACTTAATAATGTCTAAAGTTATCTACCTTAAGCGAGAGTCTGGAGTTCGTAGTAGGTAACTAGACCTGTGTTACAAATCTCCAGGAATAAATAATGTGTTATGAAATTGAATCAACGGAAAGTTACATACATCGCTTTTTTCAATAAGAGCGTTTGCGCGCTACGTCCAATTCGTATCAGGGGGTCTACTCTCGATCTCCGTCAGACATCCGTCGGAAACAATTACTGTCAAATAAGCAATACTTGACCAAATGAAAAGACGCGTTATGCGAATGAAGCTTCATACTTGGTACTTGTCTTTTAATTTTGTCGGCTTATTTGACAGTAATTGTTTCGGACGGATATCGGACGAAGTACGAGAGTAGACCCCCAGTTTCGAACTCCAGAAATGACGGTCCGAAATGTCACAGGTATCCGAAGTATCATTTTTGCTCTAGGTGTACATTGGGTCCGAGGTTTCTAGATTTGTATAGTCTCGTATTCGGAACGAATACGATCAGATGTAGTGCGTAAATGCGCTAACACTGTAATGCATAAGTACGAATAAAAAAAAGTTTAGTTCATAATCGCAGTATTCTGCAATTTTGCTTTATTGTATAAAGGTAGCGATATTTTTGTGGAATGTGGTATTGCAATGATTTGACATATCGAATACACGTTACAAGACATAAAACGTCCATTTGATGTAAATTAAGATAATTGTATAATGAAAATATTCCCCTTAGTTTTAATGATTGACCTAATTACTGTATCATTCGCTTATTAAAAGACCGAAAATGTCACTTTTTGAAATTAAAATGTGATGCATAATTATCAATAATGAATTGTATATTTCAAATTGAATTTCCCATTATAATTGATTAATGTCTGTCATTCATTCGGATTAGTGAGCATAGTAATATTAATGCAAATTAAAATATATAATTATTATATGTAAATGATGTATTTTAATTTTAATTTGCCATTATTGCCGAATCATTATAGTAACACAATCCACCTCCTAATGTAAATTAAATTTAACTGCCTCCGGTTGCCATGTTGTACTGCTACGCAGAGGTCCCGGGTTCGATTCCCAGGCCGGGAGAAATATTTGTGTGGCCTACATTTATTTTTCTTGTGAGTTTGGGTGTAATTTGTGGTTGCCTACCTATGTATGTGTCGATATGGCATCCGCTATACAGGATTTCCCTAGTGCGGGGCTATGAGTCTGCATAAAAAAAAGAATTAAAATAATAATTATTATGCGAAAATCGTAAGTCAGCTTGACAGCCTTTTCTTGGCTGTGACATTAGCTGAGTGGATCTTTTTACATACGCCACATAAGATATTTATATAAATTGTGTTAACTATTTAATGTTTGTTTTGTAGTTCTTGTTTATTTATTTTGTTATTTTGTTTTTTGTTTTATTTTAGCTTTGTCTTTTTTTATTCTTGCTTTCCGTGTAAACTTTTATGTTGTGGCGTTGTAATAAATGGTTTCTATTCTATTCTGAAATTATCTGTAAGATTTTACATTTGCTATTAGCATCCATTCGTACCCGTTGATATAATAATGCCACAAGTTAAAATACGTTAAAAATGCTTTTATCATTAGTAAGTCATAAAATAAATTATGTGGCATATAGGAAATTTTATAACAGGCATTTTTTGACACAAAGAAGAATGCATAATTATTAGAAATAATTTTATATGACAGTTTTGACGACCTCGGTGGCCTAACGGTTTACATTGTGGGCGCTGGATGCGGAGGTCCCGGGTTCGACACCCGGCGGGACCAATTCGGGAAATGAACTTTTCTAAATTTGTTCTTGTCTGGGTGTTCTGGAAAGTGCCCCAGAGTGATAACCGTTTGCTCTGGTAGGTACTCATAGTACATGGAATTCCCTAGTTTTGAAATTAGGCAACTGGTGTTGTTGTCTGGCACATATTATATTTATATTATCTATGATTATAGCTTTACACCTTTGGTCTAGAAATTATATTTAAGCTGTAATTGTCTAATATCGCGCTAGAGTAGTAAAAAATGGAACCAAAAACGAAGTTGCGAGGTTTGAAATTTAGGTGACGACTTGCAGATTATCTACGTCATAAGGCATAGACTCATTGCATGATGGTATCACGTACCCTGTGCAATAAGGATTGTTACCACCACGCGCTGTCTTTATTTACGTTCTGCGTTCGTATAAAAGCAAAAATATGACTTACGTTTTAGTGTTTTGACAACTGGCGCCGGAGCGACCTCTTCTACCGCCGCCGCCGTCTTTGTAGACTCCACGGGCTTTAGTTTCCTCTGTGTCCATACTGGTGCTGCTTCGGCTTCTTTGCTCTTAACCCACGGAGGTCGGTAGTTGTCCCGTTTGGGAGCTGTGTCCCTGCTCACGTTACCAATAGGCATTGTGGTGTTCTGTTAAGTAAAGAAGGTGTTTGTAGTGTAGTGTCATATGTGATTCGAGTGTAGGTTTTTCTGTAAGTTGCATATTGTAACTTAAAAAAAAGGAAAGAAAATGTAATGTAAAACACGAAATTCTTTTTTCTAGTTGAAGTGTTCTTGTTAACAAAAAATACCCCGTACTCTCATCCCACTACACATTAACTTTGAATAACATTATGGATAAAGAAAACGAAAATATTTGTTATCTGCATTAATAAACAAAATCAGTGAGGAATTTATCTTAATTATCAAAATAACATACATATAAATCGAATATTAAGAAACGTTTTTTTTTGAAACTGAAGATACAAACTTTATTTCGATATGTGCGTATTTGTTATACAAGTAAGCAATTCAGCATTTTTAATTAAGTTAGTTTTTGTGTAATATTTTTTATTATATTTTTGTCTGAATTCTTTTGCCGTGGGTAAAACAGGAAGAGCCTTTATGAGCGATGTTTTTTTGTTGTAGTTAATAAATATTTTTAACCGACTTTAAAAGAAGGAGGAGGTTCTCAGTTCGACCGTATGTTTTTTTTGTATGTACGTTACGTGGTAATTCCGTCATTTGTCAACCGATTTTGATGATTTTTTTTGTTGGAAAGAGAATACCTCAGTAGTGGTCACATTTAAATTTGATGAAAATACTCCACCTCTAAGGGTGGCGAACTAGGCGATGAATGACTTTTGATGTCAGTTTTTTTTAGTACTCTGCACTGATTTCTGTATATTGATTAATAAAACATAAAAAAACACATTTTTTGCATAATGGAGTCGGAATTCGTATTACGTTGTTGTCTCAACCTGTTTGTTTTTGGAATTCTTTAATAATTTCTACGATAAAACTAAATTCTATTCAAAATTCGCAATATTAATGTAATAAGGCCATATCTGCAAAATTACAACTTTTGACGCGTGATTACGTGGGGCATTATAATAACCAATGATACGAATTTAGAAACTAAAAAATGCATGGAATTGTAACACAAATAACCACATAAATGTGGCCATTACGACAACAGCTTTACAAAAATCATAAAATAGATGAAAATGAAATCATAGTTTATGCGTGTAAATAGTATCGGACAGAGATTCGCCAAAACACAAGTCACGCCTGCCCCATTCATTCAACGTGATATTTTTAGCTCCCTCGTCATCTGCTTGCTTTAGAATAAACACTTACCAACATTAAAATTTAAAATTATACTTTTTCCGTTATCATCGTTCGCTTTCAGGTCGTTCTTTTTTTTATGACACCAAGTGACGGGACGGACAAGTCGTGCGCCTGATGGTAAGCGACACGCCTGTCCATAACTGTTGCAGTGCCACTCAGAGCTTTAAATCGCAAAGATCTAAGAGGCATTGCCAATGCACCCGTCACCCTGAGACATTATTTGAAAAGCCCCATGTGCCATTACTGCTTGGCGGCAAAAATAGGTAAGGTGGTTGTACCCCTGGGCGAACTCTTCCACAAGGAGCTACTGCTACAAGTATAGTAGCGGTAGAGCTCCTTATGGACAGGCGTGTCGCTAACCACCAGGTGAACAACTTGTTCGTCCCGTCTCTTAGTGTCATAAATTGATACACTTTCAATCTGTATACATCCATTTTTTTTTATATTAATTAAGAAATAAAACATGAATTGTTGTGGGTTTAGATAAAAGTTTAAAAAAGGATTTTTTTTCGAAGCAGTTCGATGTTATTAAGAAATAATTAAGGTCATATTATTTAGGACCAGGACATGAAGTACTTCAATATGTATCAACTTAACAACATTTACATGTACATTTGATACAATTTCCTATGATATTATTACAATCTTTAAAATAAACAAGATTGCTAAATTTCTGCGTTATTTTATTGCAATAAGATTCAGAATTGCAAAGTTTATTACTCACGTGTTCGCTGAATAGTTGGCAAGATATTTTTATGGTGGCTAGGATAGTTTACAAGCGGTGTCATGGGTGGTTAGTTACAAGCAACTGTTTTCTTTGTACAGAATTATCTGACACATAGTTATTTTAATTATTTTGCTAATGTAGACGTAGTTTGAATCTGTCTACATCTAAGTTTCTATCACAAACACTGTTGTATGCAATGTTATAGGTACGTAGGATTGGACACGCCTTGAGATATCATTGTTAAAAACATTTCTTATTTGTTTAGATTAGCCTGTGGCTAAGTGTACCCTATAATTTTATGAATATTACGCTTATTAAAGGAAAACAAATAATATCGTAATTACCCGTCACTTGATGTCATGAAAAAAATGACGGGGTGGTTTGCTTAGACTTTCTTTTATTTTTTTCCGTCCTCTAATGTGGTTTGGAATGAAATTAACACATCGAAAAAGTGTTCTGTCACTTTTATTCTAATTTTAAAATTTAAATAATACCATTGACGTAATTAATGTTTATCACTGTTAGAGTGTACCTATGCAAATTAAATTTTTTTGTTTATTACATTTCATTAATTAGTAACATATTTGTGCCTTCCTATACCTCTTACTGTACACTTATAAAATCTGTATTTTAAAATAAAAAAGAGACAAACGATTTCCTCTATTCCATTTTAAAATATTCTTGGTGTGTAAAATGAAATATGTAAAGTGTTGTTCTGAAATTGATAATACACAATAATTACACACTTTTTCAGTATACACCAAGCACAACACTGGTCAGATCAAACGGTCATATCTCGGAACTCGGAAAGCTTTAAAACTTGCAGTAACTTCGACAAACTTGCAACATTCAGAATTTGTAAATTCAGAAGATCTGTAAGACGCGGCGTGGAGCGCGCGTGCTTCGCGACTAGCTTCGGAATTTCATCACCGAACAATCCCTCTGGAACATACATTTAAATACGTATGTTACGCTAGCGCGCCCATCCTATATTTTGGTAGCACAACATCGCGGATAATACACGTTTCTTTGTGGAATTTATAGGTTTCTTACAAAATTTTCTTCTTGACTACTTAGTAAAATTTTTCGTTGTTCGAGATAGGTTAAGAGGCGTCTAATTAGCCAAATTGCCAGATCTAAGATTGTCATTTTGTCACTTCAATACTTTAATTTTCTGATATTTTTTCGCGTGTATTCAATACGTTAATATTTACGGTGGCCATTTTGAAACTCCTTTCTTTTTCAGATATCTAGATGTACCGTTAAAGATTTTTTATTTATTTGTTGAGTATTGGCTGTAAATCCATCAGCCTAAAAGAATGAAGAAAATATTATATAAAATTGAAATTAAAAAGAAAATCGTGAAAAATTGTGATTACTTACATAAACACGATGTTTTTTTCCGTCAAATATTAATTTTTATTTCAACTGATTTTTCCGAGTCATAAATAAAAAAACCTTTCATTTCCGGTTGCTTCCTGTGGCAGTTACGCATATATTGTCGTAATAAAATAATATGATATATCGAGTTCTTAGGTTTTCGCGATTGTTACACATAGGAAATGAAACTATTTTTCCGGATTTAAATCGCATTTAAATATGATAGACAATAAAAAAAGTCCAAGTGGGTCTGCCAAAATAACACACAGACATGTGAGAGTGCCGGTCGCGTTAAAATAAAATGGAGCATCCAGTCAGCGGTGTTCTATTTTCGAAGCTTTTCCGCCAAGCCGCCGCCGTGCGCCGTATGGAATACTACGCGTTTCCCTCCACATTATTTTCTTATCAAATAATGCGAATCAAACAAAAACCGCGGAAGTATAATCGATACCACGGTGGGATGGAATTACTAGACAAACCTATGACTTTAAGTTTTTTCAGTTGCTACAGTCAGACCTTCGACAATGTGTTACAAAAAATGTAGTCTTTTTTTAATTATAAACAATAGTAGTAGGTAGTAAAATTGTTCGTATATCTAAGATGGTTTTTTGTTTTCAATTGCTTAATTTTCTGACATTTCTCGACATTGGAAATCGTTATGTCTTTACGGTGGCCATTTTGTAATTCATTTTAACCAATCTTCCACTATTCATATTCATGGCATGTCTACTCTTAACCCATTACGCGAGCTGCAAGTAAATACCTGTTAATAAATGAGACGCGCGAGCGGTGAACCTTTCGCAAATAGGAGCATTCGCCAGATCTATACGTACCCTTACGCTGATTTAATATAATTTTTTTTCGTATTTTTTCGTATTTCGTATTTTGTACAAACATTTCAATGAACCTTATATTCTTTAACATAATTTTTGTTAACAATCATTAACTTTAACACTAATTTTACTTAACAATTTTGCGTTATAAACCTCAGTTTACATAATAAATATCTAGATTATTAAACTGAAATAAATTTAACCTAAAACACGTTCGAAAACGCAAACCAAACAGGGGATATACTCTCGTCTTTTGGTCGAGTATTACTTATTTGACAGTAACTGTTTCGGGCTGCTGTCGGAGGGAGAACGAGAGCAGAGTCCCTAATTACGCGCCGGCTGCTGCTGCGGCACGGTCGCTTCGCTTGCTCGGCTCATGTTGCTTTATTATATACTAACCTGACCTACCAAAGGATTACAGATACAGGTAAATACCTCGTAAAATCTGAATTGACTACAAACGATGTATAATGTTCTTATAAAATGTGAATATTATTTTATTACAAACAAGAATTATATGAAATTAAGATAATGGAAAGTGTATTTAGTCCGAGTGAAAATTATAACAAATTAGCGTTATATCTATTAAAATTGGGTTATTCGATTTTCACACAAACGAGACGCGCTCGTACAATATTATATGCAATATTATACTCTACTATTTAAACATATAAAAGTTATCGGATAATTTCGTTATTACACCAAAAGTGTGATTTGTACCTATTTATTAAGTAAGTTTCAGCCAGGTGACGTCAGTCGTGGCCACCCATTTTAGTAGCAGTAGAGCTCCTTGTGAAACAGTTCGTCCAGGGTAGCACTGCCACCTTTCTATTTCTGCTGCCGAGCAGTAATTTCAGCATTACTGTGTTCCGGTTTTTAAGGATTAGAGTGCTAGTAAAATTACAGGCACATGGGACTTGTCAACTTATGTCTCAGGGTGATGGGCGCAGTGGCGCTGCCCTTCAGATCTTTGCGATTTAAAGATCTAAGTGGCACTGCAACTGTTATGGACAGGTGTGCTGCTTACCATCGGGCGCACGACTTGTTCGTCCCGTTACTCGATATTATAAAAAAAGTCCGGTTCACGTTTATCTTTGTTTCAAATATTAGTACAATGTAACGCGAAAGTTTAAAAACGTATTTAAAAAGTGACGTTAATAAGTGGCTGAGTGTACGAAAGATAAAAATTTAGATTTCTGCATTATTTCCTATAAATAAACGTAGTAATTACAATAATTCTACAGACCAACGATAAGAAACCGTTTATCAAGATAAAATAGAAGTAATCTAAATCGTATTTTCCTAAATTTATCTTAAGACCCTATTATGCTTACTCATAAAAAATGGCGCGATGGTTAAAACGAATTTTAATTGCCTACATTGTTTTAAGAGATTGCAATTAATTTTAAGCTACAAAAAATTCAAATTGAAAGTGCTTTATATCTCTCAATAATCTCAGTACAAAGTAAAAAAACCGACCTGAAAAGTTCGTGGAACTACATTTATTTGCCAAGTTTTTCTTTCCCTTACCGGAAAGGCGCGAACCCGGATTTATCCCCTAGCTTGCCACCCTTAGAGGTGGAATATATTGTTCAAATTTAAATGAGAGTAATAATGAGGTACCCTATCAATAAAAAAAAGAATCATCAAAATCGGTTCCCAAATGCCAGAGTTATCGCGTAACATACATCTAATTGATAACCGCCTCCTTTTTATAAGTCGGTTAGAAAGGTCTGTAAGTAGTTATCTCATGTAAACTAAAAAAGTTCCTTAGTGAGAGCTGGAGTCTGTACTAGGCTGAGGACCTGGGACAAATGAGCAGGCTCACTCCCTCGAGTGTATTAAGAACGTAACATGAAATACATCCATATTACAAAATAAAGCGTAGCATAGCAAGTGACAATGTGTGGTGGTGTGTATGTATCTGAAAAGAAAACAAACAATCGAATTGAGAACTTCCTCCTTTTTTTTGCAGTCGGTTTAAAAGAGAAAGAGACTTGCATTTTTAATAATTGTTGCGAAAAGGCGATCGGCATCAGATTTGCTGAATGCAAGCGATGCTAAAAATCGTAGCAATATTAAAGATTTCAGAGATGAATACCGCGTACTTTAATTATAATATTATACACTACTCAAATGAGTTTGACAACAAGGAAATTGAATTGAAGCAGAAATAGTAAAAAAACGTACATTCCTCGAGAGTAGAGCCTGAAGATATGCAAATATATAATAATCTGGAAACACTGAGCGATTCAAAATGAAATATGTAGGTGTGTTTGTAAATAAATATTTTGCATAAATTAACTTATGTAGATAAATAAATAAATTAAATTTGGATATATTTGAAATATGCATTTCGAAAGTATTTATTAAGTAATTCAAAATAAGCAAATATGGTAAAGTTTCGTAACAAAATTCATGATGAATATATAAATATAATGATATACACACTGAAAAGTAGTTTAAATGCATTTAAAATATATTATATTATAAATAAATAAATATTTTTATAGTTAAGTATTCAAAATTATTTTAATCACGTTTTGGGGTTTTGGCCCCACTGTGCGGCGGGTGCCAGAAGCCAATTTACTTACGTTTCCGAACATGTTTTCAGGTAAAATTACATTATAATTAATATAATATTAGTATAGAAATATAATCAACATTTACTTAGTTTTAAAAATAAGTATCAAAATTTTATTTTTAATGCTTATTTGCATTGACTTACAATTATATGGACGTCGGGTCGGCGCTAAAAAGTGTCCGAACTTATAGGCCGTTAAAATCGTATACAGAGCGTCATTCACGCTTTAGTCTTCGTTTGTTCGACTGACAGCGAAGCAAGCAAAATTAGACAGTACTGCGATGACATTACAATTTAAATTCAACGTTTTAGCTTTTTCATATTCCTACATGTCACTACGTTTAAATAGGTTGACTTGGGACATTTTTTTCGTGGTTTTTGTATTAGACCCGTCGTCCATTTATTTGTAAGTCCATGCTTATTTGACTTAGTTTTGAGCCGCAACATAAAACTATCAAAGTTAATTTATTCAAATCAAATATTTTTTGCGTACCTCAGAACAGATTAAAATATCGATCGATTAATTTATATTTTACCTCACTAGCTCGGAAAGGCTTTCTTTCTCGTTAGAAATCTGCGCCCAAAAGCGTTTTTTGCACGCTAGCGTGGAAAAGGTTTATGACATTCGAACTTCTCGAAATAATGTGGTGCACCTAACTTTTTCTTTCGATGACAAAATAATGACACGATCAACTGCGAGATTTGTCTTACATTACTTATTTATGTAATATAAATCCGTTGGTATATTTTATGCTTATTATTGTTGACATTAAATTGGCAATGATAAGTAATTGTGTTTATTAAATTATTTTAATTCGTCGAAGAAGTAAAATAATTTCAATAATCACTTAATCACACAAAATAAAAGTACAAGCAAGAATAAAAGTTTATGAGGTGTAAATTCAGAACGCATCCGAAGATAATTTTTTCTTCTAATTAAAAAAGCTGATGTTCAACTGTTCTTTCATGTACCATTTCCTTGCTTTAGTGAGGTGAAAAGTTGTGTGTTTTGCTCGACAGCAAAGTTGTTTAGCGTCTCGTGCCTTGAAACCCTCGCTACGCTCAGGAGTCTATTTTTCAACCACTACTCGCTTCGCTTGCTCAGGTTTCAATACAAGCACTCGCGTCAAACAACAACTTTGCAGCCTTGCGTAACAAATAACTATTATGACTCAGAGAAAGAGGGTCAATCATTAAAAAAGATGACTGTTTAGATTTTGTGCCTGTTGCTTTTGTAAATTTAAATAGATCATTTAAACACATGCCAACAAACACCGAGAAATTCGTAAAATCTGCTGACATGATCTGAAGCACAATTGATAAGGGCGGTAGGCCCGTGTTTGGCAAATAGACGCTGGTTCGATTCCAGTCGAATCGATGAATCTATATATCTTACCACCATGCGCACTCGTTGTTCGTCCCGTCAACGCTTGATATCATAAAAAAACACATATTGTATAGGTATATACAAAACAGTGTTCTTAGGTACTTCTTTTAATTTTTCGTGTATTCTAAATGTCGCGTTTTCTATTCACAAAATGTCGCAGGGTGACGGGCGCAGTGGCAGTACCCGTCAGAACTTTGCGATTTAAAGGTCTGAGCGGCACTGCAACTGTTCTGGGCAGGCGTGTCGCTAACCACTAGATACACCACTTGCACGGTATCATAAAAAAACACAGATTTTTGTAGTAGTGAAGTGCACGAGTAAATTTGTGAAAAAAACATTGTGGCACATGGGACTTGTCAACTTATGTCCCAGGGCGACGGCGCAGTGGCTTTGAACCTCCGATCTGAATTCTGAGTTGAGTTAGTGAATCTCTGAGTGGCACTGCAAGTGATATAGACAGGTGTACCTATCGCTTACCATCATAAAAAAAAAGATTTTAGCGTTTTATATATGCTAGTTTTTTATTTATTCTATATCAATTCTAGTTATATTGAATTAATGCCCAAACTGTTTGGATTTCATAATGTTTATAATTGCAAAGTTACAAGAAATTTAAAATGTACAATCTCATCAATATCATTTAATTCGTATGTAATAGTTTTCGTGTTTAAAAAATATATTACACTGACACCAATAAATGTACATAGAACTAGAAAAACTTAGACTACCTACTTTCAAGCATAATAATACGCTAATTTTGAAATCCTTTGAAAACAAGTTCAATACGTAAATATGTCTAACGTTATTTACATGGCGCCCAAGTTCTCAGTAAAAAGAAAACAAGTTGCAAAGCTTGGAATGTGTACCAAAGAAATAAAAACAGTAATCTCAATGGTTAAAGTTATCAATCATAAATCTGTATTAATTAATTATCCAATTTATCATGATAACCTGATAGACTTTCCTATCTTACGATATACTACTACTACATACTACTATAAATTCGAGCGTTTCGGTTTTAGTAATTCACTGGGTTTGGAAGGCTTTACAGCAAATATCAATCTAAAACAAGTAAGTATACTTTCTGTTATGTTCTGCAGTGTAGAGTATGTTAAACCTAATAAGTTACCTAGGGGATAATGGTAGTATTAAATACCTAGTTTCTTGTCATGATAAGTTTTAGTTCAGTTAATTGAATAGAATTTTTTTTAGAAAAGATAGTGTAATGAAATGATGTAATATTCAACCTGTTCTAATATTCAACCTTCCACGACTGTTCATTGCAAAAGAAAATAGTTTACTTTTCGGATCTAAATGGCATATATTTGATTTTTCAAAAACGTTGATACATTAAAAATAAGGTATAAATTAATAACTTTATAACATAAAGTAATAACTTTTGAAGTATAGTGAAATCTACAGTGGTTTGCATTAATAATAAAGCGGACATTCTCGGACTAGTGTTACTACCTAATTTCCGCGGCAATTTTTATTATATAAATATTCGATTTTTTATCGTGTAATATTATTCAATATTCGAGTAAGGTAAATGTTTCAGTGATTTACGCTTTTAGACGAAAAATCACGTATTTTGCCAAAAATGTGTATGGACTATATCTGTCTGAAATAAATGAATTTTGATTTTGATTTTGAAAAAAGTACTTAATTAACAGTCATACTGACTACCTAGGAATGTAAACATATTAAACGGCTTATCATTTCTCTTTTAGAAACAATAAAATTTGAAATAATTATAGCATTATTAAAATATTCCAGTTTTCTATGGCAAAGTAAGATCAGTGTACCAGTATTTGACAGAACGTTATGTTAAGATTTTATAGTTATTTGACTGGATTTATTTATTACGTTATAACAATAAACTAATAAAAGAACAACTTAACTATGTCAAGCGAGATGCTTTTATTAAAATTTTGAAAAAAAAACTTATAAAAAATGAAACATAAATGTCACACGATCATAACACATATTGTTTTAAATGACATAAAAAATATTTTCATCTTGCAGCGATAGGAATCCCTCTAGACCTCTAGGTCATGTATTGAAGGCGACTGATGAAGTCTCAGTCGCCTTCCGAATAATGTCACACCCTTGATGGCATTTTCTCATTGCACAATACCTGCAAGGAATAGTTGACGCTAGTTACGTCCTGTAGTTTGACACCTCAATATACTACTGTCAAGCATTGGATCCCCATAGTAAAACAGTTTTTGACGCTCATGTCAAACACTACTCAAACTACTCATAGAAACTTGTCACTAACAGAGTAATACAAACCTACGTTTTCCGTCCATACCAAATGGTCGAAATTAAGTCTTAAAAAATATTCATTTGTACGAGTGTTTGACATGGTTGTCAACTACTACTAAACTTTGAAATCTTGTACCAGCGTTTGACAGGCCTCTAAAATAAACTATGAACGATATACATCAATAAATACACCCAAAATATTATTATTATATATAGTTTAATAATATAGTATTAATAAACACTTACCGATAATTGATGGACTCTTGTATATAGTGTTAGTAACAAGCTCTCTTAAAAATAAAATAAAATAAAAATTGTATCCTAGTGTGGAGCCGCACCCAATTCCGTAACATTGGATGTTAGGATGAGGCGCAGCGTTTTCTCATTATAGCGTAGATGTAATATTAGATATAACTGGTTGATCACTTTACAAAAGTTAGTCGTGACCATGTGCTTTACAGCTGTAAAGGGTCTAAAACGTTGGTTTCTTTTGAAAAAACAAATATTCGCGATTTAGATCAGGAAAAAATAATCAATTCCAATATAGTAGTAGGTATAGTTAAAGATTCATGTATTTACTAAGCACGCATTAAACTCTTTTCAGCTATCATGTTCAAGTTAGCCATTGTGTTGGCATTGGCGTGCTTCGCTCACAGCCTTCCTACTCAGGAATCTGGTAAGTTACTTGCTAGTCATATTTTATTTGGATTGTATAATTTTGGTCGCCAAAGAAATTATATGAAATAAATAAACCAGTACGATTAACTGCTTGTTTTTAGTTAATGCGCGAAGTCGTAATCAACTTCATGCAGCCGATTTCTCGACTGCGTGAAGTTGATAACGATTTCACGCATTCATTCTAAACTATGGGCGATTTCGGTGATTCTATCAATTCTAAACTCAATGCGTTTGACTGGAATATTGAATTGCATCGCGGATCACTGAATGATGCTGTCTCTTATTTCTGTGGTGTGCTCATTCACCATATTTGTACTAAATTTGTATCTTCTAAATTAGTTACTTCGTCGTCTAACTATCGTCCATGGTCTGGGAGGCCTCTTATAAAAGTCTTAAAAGAAAAACATAAATATAATTTGAAGTATAAAAAATACGGTAACCGACATGACTTTCAATCCTTTGTCACTTTAGGAGATTGTGCAAAGATTCTAGAAAAAGCATTGTTTGAAAAGTACGTCGCGAATGTTCAGGAAAATATCACTACTAATCCCAAAGCATTCTGGTCCTATGTGAAATTAAAGAATCATAATAATATATATCCAGCTACACTTTAATATGCGCAGCGTACATCTGGTGACGGGGAAGTCAAATGTAATATGTTCAGTGATTACTTTCATTCAACTTTCTCGCATAGCCCACTGCACACTTAGTGACATTGTAAACTCCTCGTGTGAAATAGGTGACATAGAATATTCAACGCGTTAGAAGTATATAGACTGTTGAAGTCTCTTGACTTGACCAAGTCAGTCGGCCCCGATAATATGGGTATATTATCTCTAGATGCTCAATATTTATTTCTATATGCTCTAAATCTCTTTCCATCCCTCTTTGTATACTATTTAGTCGGTCACTAAGTGAAGGTATTGTACCCAAAATCTGGAAGTCTGCGTACATTACGCCCATACATGAGAAAGGTCCAAAAGACATAGTAGATAATTACAGACCTATTTCAAAATTGTGTTTATTTGCTAAAATTTTGGAGAAGATCGTTTATAATTAGGTTTACGCGTCTATTAAGCATGCACCGTATCCAGAGCAGCATGGTTTCCTGAGGGGCAGTTCAACTACATCTAACCTTACTTTGTGTAGTGACTTTCTGGCTAAATACATGTCCGAATCACCTCAAGTGGATGTAATCCATACTGATTGCAGCAAATGCTTTGATCGCATTGATCGCACTGTACTTCTGTGTAAACTTCAAAATATTGATATAAAGGGAAAACTGTTTAGATGGTTCTCTTCTTATGTAAAAGAGAGATGCCAACTGTTGTATTGAATGGATAAACCTCCTCCTCTATGCCAATACCTTCCGGCATTCCTCAAGCCTTCAATATTTTCATCAGTGATATCTCATTATGTTTCATTTATGCTAAAATAATTTTGTATGCGGATTACATGATAGTAAATCCGATTAGAATTTATTATTATAAAGGGTGCAACAAATTTATTCGAGTATATCTCAAATCTATTTTTTTAATATGACCTCAAAGTGATGATGAGGTCGACGATGTAGTATGCATGAATAATGCCTATTCACTCTCGTCTTGAAAAGGCTCAAATTATAACGTTCGGGTAATAAGTTTCCGGGCAGGGAATTTCACATCTTAGTCGTTCGCCAGACATAAACAAAACATCGTGCGAATCCTCGGAATATTCACAGCATAGTGATGGAGCCTCAGCCTATGTCTAGTCCCTCGACGGTGGAAAGTAGAATTAAATTAGGTATTAAGAATGGCCATTTTATCAAATACAAGCTATAGACAAACAATTAAAAAATCCTTAAACCATGGATGACCCCAGGAATAATCCGATGTATTTTTCTCAGAAATAAAACGCAATACTAAAAATTACTTACAAAAGATTTCGAAATTTCTGTTACAACTTAATTAGTAAACTTAAAAGACAATACAATAGAAATAAAATTATTAAATCTATTAACCACCCTCGAAGTCTATGGACAACAGTGAATGAAATAACCCAGTTCAAACCCCCTAAAACAACTAATTTCAATAATCTCCATATTACCCCTCAACCTTTGGACTCGGTCAACCGTATAAACCAATTTGTTGTTGGCATTGGCATGTCTCTGGCAGAAGACGTTATTAAACAAACTGCGACTCTGAGTAAAAATATCTTCACTGATACTATGAACACTCAGGTATCTTCTTTTGTGTTGCTCGATACTTGTCCTAAGGAAGTCGATAACATACTGTTGGGGCTGGACTCTAGCAGTGCTCCTGGATGGGATGGGATCTCTCACTTTTTGAAAACTATCTTTTGGATAGATCACAAACTGTTGAAATTGACAAATTTTGTAGTGGTGAAGAAAAGATCTCGCGTGGGGTTCCCCAAGCTAGTGTACTCGGTCCGACTCTGTTCTTGATTTATATAAATCAACTATGTGAGTTAGAGATCGGAGGCGGAAGGATATTCTCCTATGCGGACGACACTGCCGTGGTTTTCACTGGGAAGACATGGGACGCAGTTAAGCGCACTGCTGAAACAGGTCTAGCGAAAATGGCTAATTGGCTTAATTCTAATCTCCTCACCCTGAACGTAACAAAAACAAACTATATTTGCTTTGCTCCCTACATAAACTCTCAGCTAGCGATTGACTTTGTAATAAAGATCCACACCTGTGGTGTCTGTCCCAATAAAATCTGCAACTGTTCACCTATTACAAAGGTCAGCTATGCCAAATATCTGGGAATTATAATTGACCAAAGACTTTCGTGGCATTCCCATCTGGAACTGATTACGCGTAGAGTAAGGAAACTTGCAAGGATTTTTAAAACTTTAAGACACGTAATGGATAGAGAGCTATTAACCAAAATCTATGTAGCTCTTGTTCAGTCAGTTATTGTTTACTGTATACCAGTATGGGGGGGGGGAGCTACCAGGATGAAGTTTATTGACTTAGAGAGAGCTCAAATAGCCCTTTTGAAGGCCATGTATTTAAAGCTTTTAGAGTTTCAACAGATGTTCTATATAAGATCGACAACCTCTTGAGTGTTAGAAAGCTGTACATTCTGAAC